GAGAGAGAGAGAGAGAGAGAGAGAGAGAGAGAGAGAGAGAGAGAGAGAGAGAGAGAATGTGATAGCATTCTAAACCAGAGCAGCAGAATGGAGTTATGCTTCAGCTTAAAGAAAGTGCTGTTTTCCTCATGGAGAACATGAATATTGTATGTCTCTAACTGTGCTCCTAAGTGTGAGAGTCAATTGCTTAGTTTGACTTTGTTGTCTCTTTTGTAACACTACATGTTATGAGAAGGGGCTGCTATTGCTGACATACCTGGAAGGTTTGGAATTTTAGTCTGATGTGTCACAAAGAAAGATAACAGACAGCACTTTCTCTAAGCTCCTTGGATGTGCTCCTAAGCGTTGTCAATAATCTTCACTCTGGAGAACCTCACATCTCCATGTGGACCACAATCAATGAAAACGGTGACTCTCTACTCCAGGCTGGTTTTTTTTAAATCCCCTAGGTCATACCCCTCTTCTAGGAGTTCTGATTTAATTGGTGTATGATGGAGCTCAAGCATTAGTACAGTAGAAATGCTCACCAAGTGATTCTAGGATGTGAGTGTGGGTGCAGCGACAGCCTTAGACCTATAGGCTTTCCACAGAGAATCAGGGAGGAGGGACTGGGCCCAAATACCATGTCTCCTGTGATTCTATTTCCTGCTGCTTACTTTAGGACAGTGGATTCAGTCTCTCTCTTCCTCTCATGATGACCCAGGCTCACCCACTACTACTTATAAATGGCTTATAAAGAGGGCTTTGAGTCCTTTGGGAGTTGAAGAACTTGCAACCTCACTTGGCAGCCACGAATCTAACTATACAGGCTTTGATAGTCACAGCAGTTGTTTGTGTCCAGCTCTTGGCCTCTATCTTGTTCAGTTATATGTAGACTCAGGTGTGGGCTAGAGACATTGTTTACTGTGTTGCTGGCAGTCCCACTGAGTGAAGTTCTCAAGACATCTTATTTGTACAATTTGCATGGCAGGCAGCCACAGGCTACCATCATGACCATGGCCCTTCTTGGAGAACTTGGGGTTCCAGCAGCAATGAGAGAAGGAAGCCCACATATAGGTGTGTTTCTCATATGCCGTGTCAGCCTCACTCTGAAGACTGAGACTTGCTTCACATGGTATGATCACGAAAAGAGTTCTTAAAACTTTGGATCTATGCCAGGCACGGTGGTACACACCTTTGATCTCAGCACTCAGGAGGTAGAGAGAAACAGGCAGATCTTTGTGAACTCCTGGCCTGCCTGATCTGCATAGCAAGTTCCACAACAGCCAGAGCTACATAGTAAGTTCTATCTCAAAACAGCACAGAACAACAATAGCAAATAACTCTGCATCTAGTCATAGATCTCAAATAGGGCAAATTTCTTGTCTTCCAGAAGCTTTCAAACTGCCATGAGGTCAAGTGTCACCTATGAAACTTGTCTAGAGCCTCAGATTCTTAACAGAGGAGCCCAAAAAAAAATTCTTTGGTTTGGGCTGAGAGTCCTTTGCTGCTGCTGCTGCTGCTGCTGCTGCTGCTGCTGCTGCCTCTCCTCCTCCTCCTCCTCCTCCTCCTCCTCCTCCTCCTCCTCCTCCTCCTCTTCCTCTTCCTCTTCCTCTTCTTGAAAGGGAAAATTTCTTCAAATTATTTTGGAACAAGGAGAGCTTATTCTAGGAAATGTAGGTTTCCTGGAGAGGACATTCCTGGACCAGAGGCAGGCACCGGACTCCTATAGAGGTATTAAAATACTCTCCCATGCAACAGAGATTATTATCAAGACTGGGGGCAGCCACCATGCATCACTGTTAACCTCATGAAATCACAGTGCCTTACCAGCTTTTCCTGCACAACCTTCAGACATTCATTCATGTGGCTCAGGTGGTCTTTTCTGTACTTGATAAACTGGTTTTCTGTCCATTTTTGATTGTTTTCAACTTCTTCATATATATTTGTAGAAAGTGAGTTAAATCTAAGGAAAAACATTTTAATAAGTGAATTTAATAAATCTATAAATAAATGTAAATATAAATAAAATTAATAAATTTAAAAATTTAGCATCATAAAGATACAGTAGGATAATGTCCCTGGGCCTGAGCAAGTACTTATGAGACCTCTTGGGAGGTGTTGGTCCTGCTCTAAGCTGGAGTCCAGGCCAGCCACTGTCAGCAGTCCTATGTGTACCTCAGAATGCAAACACACATGGTGGCAGGTATATGGTAAGCTTTCAGGAGCAGCCCTCCTTTCAGGTGAACCCAGTTTGTCTGTGGCCGCTGGATGGGCTACACATGCAATATAAATTTTTTAAAAATTTATTCAAAAGTATAAAATGCATCACCTTCAGTCATACTCAGCTGCTTGAGTTTGCTGGCCTTTGCTTTACAAGATCCACCTGAAGTAAGGAGAAGAGCAAAAGGGACTGACTATGTCATAAGAGGAAGGTGGGGGCAAGCCCCAAACGTACCTCAGCAGAGCAGTATCTAAGGTTTGGCTTTGGATAGTGTGTGCCCTGGCAAATTATCAGAACCATCTCCTCTGCCACCGGTAGATCTGAGTGGGTGGATATGTGCTAAGTTCCTCTCATGGCAAAATGAAGAAACCAAACAACCAACCCTGAAGTGAAGAATGTACAGAAAGGGACTGTGGGCTGTCATGAAGTATAAGTTTGTTAAATAACAAGAGAAGATTTTAACAAATGGGAGTGAATATTGTTTCAGAGGTTAAAAGCATTGTAAACAGGCAGAATTAATATAAAATGTCACTGTGGCACAAAGGGGAATTATATTTGAATTGACAGAGATGTCGATCTGAGGAGAGAGAGGACGCATGGAGGTGTGTGAGTGGTCCCTAAGATGACAGCTCCAAATTTCCATTTGGAGCAGCCCATAGTATTAGATCAACAGGAATGATATGTGTTGTTACTGATGATAAAATCCTTCTCAATGCATAGTGTTGACAAAGCAATAATCGCTCTGATATTCTTCTGACAGGTACAGATTCCAGTATTAATCCTTTGAAATCACTTAAGATGTGAGGGACACATGACACATATGTATATCTTTCTGGATGTCATGAAAAGTATTTGTATTCATAATTAAAAAATAGAAATGTCAGCTGAGTGCCTTAGCTATAATCCTATACAACTATAATCCTAGCACTTGCTTGCAGATGCAGGAGGATTGTTCACAAGGTCAAGGCAAGTCTGATCTACTTATTAAACTGTAGACTAGACAGGGTTGTAGACTGAGATGTCTCAAAACAAAAAAGAGAAGTGGAGTGGAAGGATAAGGAGAGACAAACAATAACATTGAAATGGGTGCTATAAAATAATTTCTACATAGACCAGTGGTTGTAAACTGCAGAGGATATTGAGTAATGTTTGAAGACAATTTTTATTGTCAGCACTGAGAGGCACTATTGGCATTTAGTGTACAGAGACTATGGCTGCTTCTGTGCATCCTCCTGAGGCATACAGTCAAGGTCATGCATCCAAGCCATCAGTAATGTTAAAGGTGACAAACTCTGACTTGCATCACAAAGGCAAGAAATGCGGAAAGTAAGATAATTAAAGTCTGGTCTCCATCACATCTAAATTTTCTCACATTAGTTTTTGACACAAAAAGTATATCTTATGTCAGCTGAGTTTCACTGAAGAACATGGAATCAGTTTCTTTTCTTGTTCTTAACAGTGTCATGATTCCCAGTCACCTGTGCATATGTCTAATTGCTGATAACCCTCAGACAAATAAGTTCAATGAGTGTGTGTGAGTAACGTCATTTGAGTCAACAGTTTCCTCTTTGTGGACTACTTCTTTGGCTGCTCCTGCTTTCCATTCATTCAGACTTCTCTGTTGAGTAACACCCTTTTAGCAGAAATCTCTTTTCTGACTACCCTGAGAAAGAGGACCCTTTACCTAATGTGACATCCACTTGCTGATATCATCACTGTTTTATTGTTATCAAGAGACACCATGGCCAACACAACTCTTATAAAAGAAAGTATTTAATTGGCTTGCTTACAGTTTCAGAGGGTTAGGCCATTATTATTATTCCAGGGGGCATCATGGTGGCTCACTTGGTACTGGAGCAGTAGCTAAGAGTCATATCATGATCCATGGTGAGAGAGAGAGAGAGAGAGAGAGAGAGAGAGAGAGAGAGAGAGAGAGGTAGATCGGGGGACCTGATGTGGGCTTTTGAAACCCTGAAGCCCATGCCTACTGACATGCTTTCCCTAAGAATGCCACACCTTCTAATCCGTCCCAAGCAGTTCCACTAACTGCAGACCAAGTATTCAAACATTTGAGCTCTTGAGATATCATTCAAAACACCAGACCTCATTCATCAAAAGTTAAGGGGGCATAGCTTTGCCATTTTGTTTCTAGGTTCTCTTTTCTATTGCAGTCATGTATTGATCCATTTTTATATCAGAACCAAGCTGTCTTAATTACTATAACTCTATGTAATATTATTTGAGGTCAGGTAGTATAATATCTCAACATTATTTTCATTCCTTAGGATAGCTTTGGCATTTTGTGGTGTGTGTGTGTGTGTGTGTGTGTGTGTGTGGTTCCATATGAATTGTTAGTCCTATACATGTGAAATGTGACATGAAAGTTTTGAGTGTGAATTTGTTTAACATTGGTTTGGGTAGTATAGACATTTTTATAATATTAATTCTACCTACCCAGGAGGCATGGAGTAGTTTTCTATCATTTAGAATCTGCTGTGATTTCCTTTTTCAATATCTTGAATTTTTTGTTGTAAAAGTCTTTCACTTCTTTAGTGAGATATTTTCTTAAATACTTAATCTTGGGAGGAAATATTTTAAATTAAAAAAGAAATCCCATAAAATAAATCCTGATTCCCTCCTCCAACACCTCCCAAATCCTCTCTACCTTTCCAGACACCCAATTTCTTGGCCCCCTCTCTCAAACAGGCATCAAACAAACAAAACAACAACAACAACAACAAATCCCATAACTCTTCCATGTGCAAGAAATACACACACACACACACACACTCCACATAAACACAAAATTGGAAACCATAAAATACAAACAAAAGGCCATGAAAACAAAAAACAAGACAAAATGTTCAATCAAAGCAATATGGGACAAAATTCTAACACAGTGCTGTTTGTTTTTTGTTGGCCTTCTAATGTCGGGCATAGGGCCTACACTTACATGTAGATAATGCATCCAGTAAGTTTTATCCAATGGAGAATAACTCATTTTTCCTTTGCAAGTGGCTGTCAATTGGAGATAGCTTCTTGGTTAGGGATGGGAGCTGTGTCTACTTCCCTTTTCAGTGCTGGGATCCTGTCTGAATTGAACCTGTGCAGGCCCTGTGCATGCTGAAATAGTATCTGTGAGTTAATATATATGTCATTCCTATTGTATCTGGAAGATACTGTTTCCTCAGGGTCTTCCATTCTCTCTGGCTCTTACAATCTTTCTACTTCTTCCACATAGTTTTCTGACCCTGAGTTGAGAGGTTTGATGAAGACATCCCATTTAGGACTAAGTGTGCAAGCTCTCTCACTCTGTATATTACCTAGTTGAGGGTCTCTGTCTTAGTTCTCATTTTACTGAAGGAGAAACTTCTTTGATGATGGCTGTCTTAGGTACTGATCTATGGGTAGCAGAATCTAGAGTCCTTTTGCTATGTTCCATATTGCTTTGTTTCTTTAGCAGAATGATAGTATTTGGTTTAGGGGGAATGTGGCAGGATTTTTCCTGCTCATTGTATTTGCAGTGGAACTCAGTGATTGGGCAGTAGAAGAGGTAGGTGGAGCTAGGCGTTGGGAGGAGGAAGGAGCAAGGGAGGAAGAAGGATAGGGAAAAGAGAGGGAGGAGAGAAGATGGCAGCGGATGTATGCGTGTCTCTAGCAGTTTAAGGTAGTTATTTTTATCAAGGTTAGGTTATTGGGTTAACAATTCTAATTGTGTAGGCATCTTGTGTATTGAGTATTTGCTGATACATAAATCTATTTGGTTAATCTTAAGAATTAAGAGTCTTATTTCTACTGGGTACCACGAGGATGGCGGTCATTGACTGGGGTTGAGCCAAGCACTATGAGGGTGGGAGAGTTGGCCCAAGAGCCATGCTTAGAGCTGCAGACTCCACGTGGCTGACTAGTGGAGGCAACAGCCATGCCAACATCCTCTGGGTCTGGGCCAGCACTCCTGGCCAGCCAGGGGCCGCAGTTAGTGCAGGGAATTTAGAGCAGGAACATGGCACTGACTGGGAGCTATCTGAGCTACACTGCCACTTTTTCTACTACGTTCTGCTACAGGGATATAAATACCTTAATCACCTTTTCTAAAAACACAAAGACAGAACCTTTTCTCCAAATCAGCATATCCTTGAGCCAGTAACTAGAAAAACCTTTATATTGACCTCTTTTCCAGTGGAAAAACATAACAACAAAACTGAAAATCACACCCATTTTGAAAGTTAAAACAATCAACCTTTATATTGACCTCTTTTCCAGTGGAAAAATATAGCAACAAAACTGAAAATCACACCCATTTTCAAAATTAAAACAATCTAAAGCAAATTAAGTAACTAAAGTATTTTATGTGCCTATTAAGTCTTTCTTATTTTGCCAAGCAGGATAAAACCCAAGATTTACATGAGGCCCGTGTTGACAGAATTTGAGTATCCTGTGAGGCGTATTAAAGCAACATATCTTATACCATTTTCAACAAAATTGATTCACACGTCTATCTATTCCTACTTATAAGCAGGCAGCTAATCAAAGCAGGATTTAAACCCAGAATTCCCATGGAGCCCACATTAGATAGAACCTGAGTATCCTGTAAGACAAATTAGAGTAACAGATCTTCACACCATCTTTTTGTTAGTATTAAAAAACAAAAACAAACCAATTTTCCCTCAAAATATAAATTTTAATGGAATATTTTTCCTAATTTCTTTTTCAGAGAGTTGCCTATTAGTATATATGAAGGG